TTGGTTTTATTGTCATGGCTTAGTAAACCGAAAATTCCTCTAGGAGAAATTTGAAAAAATCCCAACTACGTACATAACTATTTTATATGAATTTATGTAATTTTGCACACTCAAAGAAAGTGTACATTCTATAGCCTGTATTTTGCCGTCAAACTTCACATGTACTAAATCTAGTAGGATCGGAATTGCACCGGCGATTATACGAGTGTCATCTTGGTGCAGGAATTTTAGACGAAACTTTATAAAATCGGAAATGTTTGCATAACTAAAACGCGTAATTTGGAGTCGTAGCTCCCAACAAATACTTTTTGGTTTGGTTTCCTCTAAGGTTTTTCTTAAAGGTTCGAACAGTTTAGGAATTACATATCATGGAGGGTCTACAGGGTGGAATTTTGCAATAATTTGTATAGGAAGTTGTAAAAATCCGTAAGTGATCGGAGGAATATGATAGTTGTGAAGGACCGATATATTCAATAATGCGTACGCTTGCTCAAAACCCAGATGTATTTATAACTTAACCCAACACCTCCGCACTGCGACGAACTGAGTACAATTTAATATTTTTCCTAAGAAAAGAATGTGTTTTGTAACACCTCTGAATCACTCCCCCCGCGCCGGCCGCCACACTCGTCTTTTCTGCGCAGTTTGATTTCTATAGCGCGTTGTCCTCTTAATAGCTTTAGGAAATTATCGGCCCCTGAAAGTCCCAGAAAGAGTAATCTTATCTCAATCGGATATTACTTACAATTCAGGTCAATCCCCGCGCGTAGGTTCCTTAAGGGTAGCCAGAAGTGCATTAACATTAACGTGTCAGTTTTTTATCTATACAAAAGACACGGGTAAACAAAATAAAAATTGTTGAAAAACCACAAATCGTTTAAACGTGCCGGTGTCGTGTTTATCTTTCGCCAGAAAGGAATATTGTTAACGGCCGATGCTCAGTCGCTCGACGCGAACCCTACAGAAAGGGTTGTTGAAATGTTGACACTCCTAGTTAGAATTCGTCACTGATTTTAAAGACACGTATTGGAAAGAATTGTAAATTTTACTAGAAAGCAATTTAGAAAAACAGGTTTGAAAGCATTTCCTAGAAATTTTCAAGTTCAGTTTTGAAAAACCAAGATTGTATTTCAAGATAGCAAGGGTTAACCCCCTTAACATGCAAACCCGTTGCATAAGTTGAATAGGTTCAGATTTGCTATTTTTATGATTATACAGTACCAGATATGAAAAATTTCTTTGAAATCATAATTTTTTTCGACCTTATACTCAAAATGGGAATGGGTATACTCATAACTAGGAACTGGACTTATATGCATGAAAACACGTCAAAAATGCACATAGATATGCATGAAAAATAATACACAACAAATTATTGAAATTTCTTTAATTCAAATTATTTAAATATAAGCTGTATTAAACGAATTGTTATTATTTTTATCTTTAGTTTAGAAATTTAATTTAATTTACTTTGTGTGCACTTACGAGGTATTAACGTGTATATGCCCTGTAATTTCTGTAGGACATTAAATGATTATTATTATTATTAAAAAGATTAATGATTAAGTATTGTTCCAAGTGGTCCATCTTAAAATTAGTTCGCCCATTACTTAATACGTGGTTATACACAGAGAAACGTCTTTCCGCATTGACACTAGTAATTCCAGCATACTTTAGTTGAGGCATCAGATGAGGTTCTACATTTAAATGTTCAACATTTTCCCAGTCAACATTCGTGATCTCATTTGTTGAACTTGAAAATTTGCTTGCATTATAAATTAATGCTGAATTGAACACCGCTGACGTTTTATAATTTGACTAACTTGGCCGCCATATTTATTTTCTAATTGATTAATTTTTTTATTCTTTTTATTCCTTTTTGTTTTTTTTTCTTTTTATTTTTTTTCTATTTTTATTGTTTCCTTTTGTTCTGTTTCTATTTTAAAATTTTTATTTTATTTGATTTATTATTTGTTTATCTTTATAATTTATGAATAAAAATATAATTGTTGCAATCACTATACCACTGGAAACTTGTTTTGTAATAAAAATGGTTTAAAAAGTTAATAAAATGCTAATCTATCTTAAATATGCACAGAAACCCCAAAAATTCAAAATATGCAATATTTTCTTTGTGCCAATGTGATTCATTTTTGTTATTTCGTGTAAATTATTGTTTTATTTTGAACTGCATACAATATTTACCTACGTAATGCCTAAACGCATGAAATCAGGTCTCGACTCATAACTTAGGTAAATCCGTTACTTCTGCTCTTGGTCCTACCCGTCTACGTTTTGCAATTAGGAAAAAAATGAAAGAAATTACAATTCTGCGACAAATAATTTGAAACCACAGAGAAACCCTTAGCTTATATTCAAGAAATGTTGTGTTCTTACCCTTTTCCACCTAATTTTTACATACTTTCTCACATTCTGTTCAAAGCTTATATTATTAGGACGGTTTGTTAAGAAATTCACTACAACCATGTGTTACCTTTCTTTAAAAAGATTTCTCGATTCTTTATCTAAAACGTGTAAATACTATTAACACTGTGTCCAAGATAAGGATGTCTATCATGGGAAACTCCGCAACAAACGAAGATACAAGGATGGTCAGATTAAATAAAAGATGAATTATTATCACGCTTTAAACAAAAACAGAAAATTACGATTACTTCCGAAGATATCCCAGAAATTTCCCGATTTCGTTTTTATTTTTTCTGATGTTATTTGAACAAATTAAATACAAAAAAAACATGGAGCTCTAATAGACACCGTTGGGAAATTTTCAATACAACGTTTAGTTTCGGAGAAATCATCATCGACTTTATTTTTCTATATGGCCCGTAAAAAAGTACGCCTGTATTGGGTATTGGGTATAGGTAGTATTTTTTATTACAAATACAAGGTATATAACACACAAAAAGAACACAAGTTTCCTGGAAAGTAGAAAATTGTCGATAGATATCTTCGCACTAATAGGACGTTGTGTGCGGGTGCGCTATCCTGTTGAAAGCAAGTTTCCAACTTCTGTTTTTTTTGTGTATGCGGTACATCGTTGTTTTCGTAATAAAAAATGCTATTCAATACAGTATGTACTTTTTTACGGGTCATATAAAAAAATTAAGTTGATGATTTCTCCGGAACGAAATTTTGTATTAAAAATATATCGGCGCTGTCTTATAGTCATAGAGCTCAGAAAGTGTTTTATATTTTGCCTTTATTTTTGAATGGGCGGGATGCTCTACCAACCCAACCCACTATACATTTACAAATATCAATGTTCGAACCTGGATTCGAACCAGGGACCCGTAGTACCGTAGTCCAGCTTCAACTGAAGTGAACAAAATCAGAAAATTTCTGTTTTTCTGGCATATTTTCGGAAGTAATAGGAATTTTCTGGTTTTCTTTAAAGCATGATAATAACCGTTTGATTATGCAACTTTTCTCTAATTTGGCTATGATCATGTCTTCTATGGTTTCGAAGATCCCTATGATAGACATCCGTATCCTGGACACAGTGTATAATAAAGATTACCTTTCCAAACTCGTGAACGTATTTAATTGTGAATGATGCCCCCTTTAACATGAAGTTGGTGTGTCAAAGTTTTTTTTGGATATTTGGATTTGGTTGATTGATTGTTTGTTATTATTATTGTACAGGGTGAGTCAACGATTGCGCGGAGTAACTTAATGCCTTGAAGATACGATTTTTCGATAGAGTGCTTTTGTATTATGATATGGTTGAATATTCTCCACATTTTAAAAATATTTGGAATTATACAGGGTGCGCCCACAAAGTAGGGCGCCCAAATGGTACATTTTTTTAAATAGAACTCCCTGATGTACTTGAATGCATTTTTGAATTCTACGTATAATTTTACGTCTTTTTTATTATATGGTTGATATCCGAAAACCAGTAGTTTTAAAGATAATTCGATTTTTAAGAAAAATTGGGCAGTTGCATTGCAAGCGCCAGTATATTGCAGGGTATATTGTCAAAATTATTGCTTAAATTTTGATTCCAGGTTTTATATCTTTTATCCTGGGTTAAGTAAAAGTCAAATAAATACATCTACTATAAAACATTAAAAAAAATAGCTTACAGGGTGTTTGACTCACCCTGTACATTGTAATTTGTCCTGTAATTGACTTTTACTGTTATAAAGTTATTATTATTATATGTATTTTCACGCCGAAAAGGAATTATGCGATTGTTTATAGAGCACAGGGTAGGCGTGGGTTCATAGGGAGTCATCGGAAACCGAAAAATAAAAATCTCATAAATTATTCTTAATGTTTAAGCCCCCGCCTATTAAACAGAATCACAATTTAAAATCATGAGCTAATTATCTTACTTTATTGCTAGGGTCTATAACACTCCAACAAAAACATGTCACTAAATTCTGTTATGTTATGCACCCCCTCATGATTTTTTTGGTTAAATTTCACTCTTGATGTAGGTAAATGAAGTAGATTTTCAAATTTTTTTCTTCTCAAAATTACGAAATGAAACTAAGAGTTATAGTCACATTTTAATATTATGTTTTGGTTTGAGAGAGAAAGTGCCACTAACAGAATTGTTAAAACAGGCACGTACTCTACTTACTGGAAAGTTTTCTCGCAAAGACCTGGTTATTACCTAATTAACCTTTGTTGATGATCTCATAATGATATCCCAAATAAAATCATATACTCACCTTCCATTACTTATGACCATAAATCTGGAGTAGGCTAGGTATGTTAATTAAAAAAAATAGATCGAGGTTAAAACAATATAAAGTTTATTTTACTATTTACTTAAAACTTGCAACAATATAGACTCTCCTTAAGAGCTGTCAGCAATATACTTTAACAACGACTAAAACTAAGATTATGTTTACAAAACATTGATAATCTATTTTTTTGTTTCCTAAAGGTACAAGTTAACAAAGAAGATATAAAAGTCGACGATTAAGATAGACAATTAAAGTACCTGATCATTAATTAAAAATTGGACGGTAAGTGGTAATTATTTATTAATTAGGCGTATATCCGATATAAAAACAGTTCTCATTTTGAAAAAATTAACCCTTTACCCCGTAAATAATAATGTAATATTTGAAGTTCACATTTAAGTACATATTACAACAAGAACACTTAAATTTCTAGTATTTTACAGATTATAAATTTACAAGGGCGCCCATTTTATAGAAGCCGATATATATACACGTAAATTTTGCAATTATTTACACATAATTATCAATTTGCCAAACTTACTAGTATAATTGCGAGTATGTCAACAAAAAACAAGGTGTAAAGTAGAAAAGCAAGTACAGTAGTAAGTTTGTGTTGCAATTGTTTTTTATTGCACCACCCCAACCACCAATAATAAATGTATGTACAATAAACTAAATGCATTCGAATAAATTAAAAAGTCACTTTCATGCGCTTAATCGTTGTAGTCAATCGCAGTAGTGCCTTTCGCAGGATGTGTCAGTTGAAGGAAGCGGAGTTAGACTAGATTAATGATAATGTTAGTTTGAAGCTTATTCGACTATCAATGACGACTGTTCGCAAGGTTTAGTTTTTCGAGCTTTAATTGTTGCAAACATGTCAGATCTGAAAAAAAGCAAATCGAAATGTAAGTGGAAGAGGAAACGTCATGCCATGCAGCTACAGCAAGCAAGCAAATAAAAACTGGCACCAGAGGGTTACTTTCGCACAGAAGCGTCTAGCCCCCAAAGGTCGTACCAGGGCCCGTAGGTATTTCCGCTTCTATTTGATTTTTCGTTAAATTTAGTCGCGTGTTCGCCTCCATTCAGGCGTCGCTTCATGCTCTCGCCGTAATTCATTAGACCGGCATCGGCGGCGTTCGAGTTCGAACCGCCGCTGTTCGTTTTGGTGAGCTTAGTTCTCGGCAGGAACTGTCTACTTTCGATGGCGTCGGAAAACTCGTCGGCCGACGTGTCGCGATTTCTATCGTTGTAATACCTCATCTTATCACGATTATCCGTTTCGATGGTGGCGCGCTTCGAAACGGATCTTACGTCGTGTTGATCAGTATCGGAATTGATGCTCTCATAACTCGATCTCATACGCCTTTCGCGCTCTAAATTATCTATTTCGTTGTTTTTCTTGTAATACTTGGATTTGTAGAATCTGTCGTTTTCGTTTACCTCCTTCTCGCCGTTCTCGCTGTTCTCGACCTCTACTCTGAAAGTTTTGAAAGTTCGCGTCTCCTCGCGATACTTCATAATGTCCGAGTGCTCCAAGGTGTTGCTGCGATTTTCCACTTTATTTTTCTCATTCTTCACGTGAATTGGGTCGCTCCGTTCCATTGTGGAACTTCGGTTTGCGACGCTCTTCTGCTTGTCCGGGGAGTACTTGGACGATTTCGACAGCTTTTCCAGCTTCTTCCCGATTGCCGCGACGTTGGGGAACTGTTCCGTGTTCCGTTTAATTTTTTGCGCCTGATCGTCCACGACTATACAATCGTAAGGATCGTCGCTGGTTATTTCAGTTTCGCTATCCGAATCGGTCCCGGTGTCGTTGTCGTATTGCTGCAGAATATTTTTTCGATTAACCGTGCGTAATATTAGTCCATCCTCGTGATCGTAAAACTGATCCCCGTTCGTCTTCGGTTTATCAAAATGATTTTCAAAGTCGTCCTGATTTAAATTCCCATTTCTGCCGCGCGTTTTATGGGTTTCGTTAGCGACCTTTCGTTGATGACGGATTCTAACATTACTCTCCTCGTGCTGTTTGGCGTTTAGCGTTTTATCGGAGTCGTTAGATCGATCGCGACTTTTACGCGAACCTTTAATTCCCTTTCTATCTATAGTCGAATGGTGCTTTTTCTTTTCGTCAATATCGACCAAATCGCGATGCTTCCACAAAGCCATCCCTTCCAGCACTTCATTATCAGATCCGCTCTTACCAAATCTCCAGAAGGATTTCGTGCGCTTGACGAAACCCTTCTTGTCATCGTTTGTCCTCCACGTGATGCTCTGGTCGTCAGATAAGTAATTGCGGGTGTCGTCAATGGGCGGCTGAGACGATGGCAATTTTTTGCGGTTGTTGTTGTCATCGTGTAAGCTAGGACGACGACGTCTGGTCGAGTCGCAACATTAAAAAGCGATAAGAGTAAAAGTGTCCACTTACCTTGCCGGCACCTTCGTTTGTCCAGGAATTGAGTCATCGTCCGAGTAGTCCACTTCGGGCTGCGGCGGGGGATCGTTGCTGAAACCCGAATCGTTGCTGCTGTGCAGGGAGACGTTCCCCACTGGTCCTCCAATTTTACCGCCCTTTGTTTGCAGGTGAATGGGAAGAGCGTTGATACCAGGCGGTTTTTCCACACGCGTGACCTGGGGATGAGTGGAATAGGAACCGCCGGATGGTGCTGTGAAGCTGAAGCTGGAAGTTGACATCTTTAACCCGCCCGGTTGAGCGTACGGAGTTTGAAACGTAGACATGTCCATTTCTGGTTTTGAAAAGTTGGTACTGTGCGATTGGGAGAGTCCAGTTTTGTGATATGGTAAAGAGGGAGTGGGAACGGGAGCGGGTAGGGCGGGCGGCGGAATGTTGTTAGAAGCGATTGCTCGACGAATCTGCAAATAAAGTCGTGTTACCAAGACAGTTTCGCTGCATTTGACAAGGAGTTGAAGCAAATACCTGTTTAGCATTAGCAGATGATCTGTGCAGGTGTATAGTGTCGCCAAACATACGAGGTGTGGGGTTGTCTAAGTTAGCTGTGTTACTAGGCTGGGGTCCACTAGGCGATAAAGGGGTTATAGTACCTGTCGATGGGGTGGATCGTAGAGTTCCGTGATGGTTTGAGTCGCTTATGTCAGACCTGTGTTTAGGCGATCTAAGATGGAGGTAATCAAATGCTGTGTTAAATTAACTTACAAAGTGGAATCGTCCATCAGCTCTGTGTACGCTAGCGGAAACCACCCCGTGCACTGCGTGCGTAAGTTTTCCCCAAACTGCCACCCCTTATTTCTTTCACCGATTAAAGCAATTACATCACCTTCAAGGAAACTTAATTGATTGTCTCCACTCGACAAATACGCGTAAAGTGCTTTGGCCAGTTGAGTTTCCCATTGAGGGGGAGGCACCGAAGGAACGGCCATTGATTTTGGACGGCAACGAGTTGGAGTAGAATCTAGAACACGAAAATTAACAAGCACATTCACCTAAGATAGTTGGTATAATATCTCATCTAAAAATTCGCAGTTACACACTCTCAGGATACCATAATAATTTTAGGAGGACCAAAGGGGCTTTAGCTTGCTTCTCCAGGTTGAAACAATGCCACCTTGTAGTGTATAAATGCGTGCAGTTAACGTAATTTCGATCGGCATATTAATTTATTTAATTTCAAATGAACACAGAAGAAAATTTGTTAAATTGTAATTTTTAATGTAAATTTAGTCGGTAATTGTTTAATTTAATCCTAGTTCTTGTATTTAGTTTTTAGGATAAATTTAAAACACATAAAAAAGGGAACATTTATTCGTAATAAAAATTCGATCTAGTCAGGCCTTAGTAAAAAAATTAATTGGTTTTGCGATAAACAATGCCACGTGCGAGATAAGCAACGCAGGTGTCAACCATTTCGAGCGACGGTGCGGAATTTCAAGAGTCGCCGGGGAACAATAAGGTTTGTGGAAGTGGTTTTTCTCTTAAATATCAAGAATTGAGAATAAATAGGGGCTGTCTCATCATGATATTTTGAAAGAAAGCGTAAAGTTTTTGACGCTAATTTGCACCGGTAGTCTAGCCGGATATGTGAAAGAAGAAAAACGTAGTGGTCTTCATGTTAACAAAGTAATGTGCAAACAAGTTTGATTTTGTGAATAAAAAACCTCATGTAAATTACAGCAATCATAAATTTGTTTTGTTTTTTGTCTTCGAGTCAGTTTTGGCGGATTAAAGGTGAGTTTTTTTAAGAAGTAACAAGTTCTGTACTGACCAGGATTATTATTATATCTGAAGCGGGGTTTTCTCCTGGATCAAATTGCGTCATTTTTCAACATTAATTTTCAACAGACAGCCCAATTCAATTGGTAATAGAGATCCATGATTCGTATCCACTATCCAATTTTCCAAATTGCTGCTGCTTTCTAAAGCAGAAATCCAACTGATATTTGGAGAAATTCTCAACGCTTGGATAAAAGTAAGTCATTTGAATTTTTGTGTTGTATAAAAATAGAAGTCAGTCGTTTTTAGGGATTGTGTTTAATAAACCATTCTTTGCATAGAATCATTTTTAAATTTCTGAAGAGACACAAAAAGGCATCACAGAAGCTGGGATTAAAATTGTAGCTACCAGTGGCGGAGCAAATAGTTTTAGAAAAGGGGTATCAGAATTTTTTAATGTTCTGAAAGTTAGGATAGGTATGATCTGAAACATGTTTTGAATTTAGGAGGCCATTCCTGGTAGCGCAGTTCAGTTAAAGCTGGACTGCGGTACTAAGGGTCCCTGGTTCGAATCCTGGTTCTGGCATGGATATTTGTAAATGTATAGTGGGTTGGGTTGGTAGATCAGCCTTGGCTGAAACCCTGCCCACTAAAAATAAAAGGCAAAATAAATACCAAGGTTGTTTGTACATTATATATGGAACTACGGTCGGGTTTCAAGAACCTTTTAAGAAAATTAATTCAAAAAAAAGAAAACACACCAGAAATCATGAAAGTTCAAACTGGCATCATGTATTCGCAAGAGAGACATTTTAGAGCCTACGAAATGCACGCGAAGATCATGGACAAACTGATTCAAGACAACATAAACAACCAAAAGTCCATTAAAAAAGAAACCGCAACGATAATGAAAATGACATTCAAGAACAACAAGCCAGCGAGGTGCCATGGCAATGCAGCTACTAGCCAATACGATGGAAAGGCTCATGAGGGAAGTACGAGACCGCTAAAATAAATGAGAAGAAATTTTGAAAGAAAATCCTACAGGAGAGGATGGAAGAAAACCAGCAAGTAACCCAAAAAAGTACGTTAGAAGGTCTAGAGAAAATGGAGACGAAAATAGAAGCAGTACAAGAAGGTCAGGCGAAACTAGGAGGAAGTGATACGAGATATTAGAGCGGATCGAGTTCAATGGAGGGAGGAGATCGCAGCTGATCAGAGGCAAGTGAAAGAAGAAATCTAAGGGGAAGAAGGGTTAGTCAAAGTTCCAAACGAAAAAATTGAAGACATTCAGGAAGGATTGAAATTAGCAGATCAAAAGTTAGTACCGAGTTCCAAGTTATTGAGTGAAGATGAAGAAGAAAATGAAGAAGTTAACCAGGAGATTATAATTACATAATAAGTCAAGGATTACAGTAGAATAATAATTTACCAAGATGGAGATTGGGCCAGTGATGAGTAGGAGAAGAATAGAAGATTGAGAAGAACTTGGAGAAGAATTTTAATGAGAGAACCAACCGCAAATCAATTCCTTTGAAGGGGTACGAGGTACGAGTCCAATAGAAACAATGAGAATTTATCAAATATCGGAAAACTACGAAGACGTGGATCAGGAGCAAACCAATTTAATTAATTTCATAAAAAAATATTTCCAACGAACTAAAATTAAACAAGAAGCGGAACCAATTGAAGAAGATGAGTGAGTGAGTAGAAATAAAAATTGAAGAAAACAAAGAATACGGTCAAAGAGAAGAAGAAAATTTAAATGATTTGAGTTAAAACTTGGAGCTAGTTAAGGAAGAAATTAAAGAAGGTGAAAAAAGAGGAAATGGAGAGTCAACAGGTCGTTTTGAAGTGCTTGGAGGGGGTACGAGAGTGAGATAAAGAAGACAGGATTTGGAAAAAAGGAGTGAAAGTATTCAACAAAACATAATCACAACTATTATAGTCCTCTATAATAGAGGATGAGTCGTAGAGCCCAAAAGTTAAATTTGAAACTATGGACAAAAGAAAAAGTGAGAATAGCTCAGAAAAAATTGAAAAATCAAGAGGTATTAACATCATAGAAGATATGGGCAAAAAATTACAAGAAGAAGGGGAATTTGTAGAATACTCGAAGTTATTGAGGGAGTAAAAAAAATTAGCCAAGGCACAAGAGACAAATTTGAAATTATATAAAGAATTGCAAGAGATGAACAGAGAAAGTAAAAAATAAAGAAGATGAATTGATGATGAGAGAAGAGAAAGGGGAAAGGGAAACTAGAATTAGCTGAGAAGAGGTACACCCAAGATTTTATATTACATGATATTGCCGACTCTCTTCGTATTCTAAGTATTTTTGTCCGACCAAGAATTTTAGGTGGGTTTTTCAAAAAAGCTCTTTTTTTTTAAACTTAGCCGTTACACATTCTGAAAAATGCGAAACGTCAGGGACGAGTCCCTCTTCTAAAACGATTTGAGTGACCCTTGGGCGGTAGTTAAGCATTTTCAATCATAGTAACGGCCCTTTTCGCACGTACTAAAAAAACAAACCTTGAACAAGTGACGGTATGGACGAGTTTAGGTTGAAGTCAGATTTGGCCCTCGACATCGTGGTCACCGGCGAACCGACCTCCTCGATTGAGCGGATATCGAGGCAAGACGCATCCATGCTCTTCGTTTTGCGCAGTTGCGAACTAAGACTCATTCTGTCATCATCGTAGTGGGGACTTCTTGGATTTGAGTACAAATCGTCGTCCTGCCAGATCGACACTTGCTGCATATCAAAGATTATTGGACTAAGAAAAATCCACCTAGGTGATATACACACCCTGATTTTATTGCTGAAGATGTTTTCGACAGCTTCGGGCAGAAACTCGCGCGTTTTCGCTACCTCGGACCATTTATCTAGGTTTTGTTGGTAAGCGGCGACACCTTGGGCGTGGTATGACATGTAGTGCTTGGTTAGCGAGCAGTGTCTTTCCAAAACGAAACCGTAACGTCGTCGCTCTTGAGTCATTGCCTTAAATGAGTGTAGAAATCACCAACTGTGTCTTTTGCCTAATTACTTACGTTCTTTAAGCTTTGCTCGCAAAATGAGTCTAGTTTGGTTTTCTCCTCTTCAAGAACTTGCATATTCTAGAACAGTGGTATGATTATATGGCTAAATTATGGTGTAAAAGCACCTTTAGTTCCTTGTCCATGGCTAGCCCACCTTTGGAAGTTCCCTTGGATTTCTTGCGCTGCTTCTTCATAGTAGCGGCGGCCTTACTGTACGTTTCGGATCGCTGTTTGTGTTGCTGTAAGAATCTCTTCTGCTCCGACTAAAACTAAGCGTTAGACCTTTAATTGCTTTACTCCAAACCAACCTGAACAACTTTTGTGTCCTTCTCCAAATTCGTCTCTAACGGTACCAGCAGGTCAACATAGAATGCTTTAAGCTGAAATCAAAATGGCATTGGACTACTGCAAATACGGGGGAGTTTTATAGAGAGAAGTGAAACTGAAAACGTAGCATGTCACAGTAATTTAGACAAGGTGTAATTTGGTTAACGTCATCGAAATTAAAGTGTGAAAATTTCCTCCCTGGCCAGTGACCGGTAACGCAATTATCTTTCAAATTAATTATCGGTTCGGGAGCCACTTGTATCACTTTAATTCCATTTACCCGGCTGTCGACATTTTCGCCTATACTCACAATGTTCATTTGCTGATCCTGTATCTCCTTATAAACCTCCACAACCTTCATTAACGCCGCCCCTGAAAAACAGAAAAAAATATGCTTTAAAATTCAATTCCGTCGGGACTCTGTCGCAGTCCGATATTAAAGAAGCTAAATAAATATGGGGACTTAATTAGCGCAGTCGAGCGATAATTTCGTTTAAATTGACGCTTTCGAAACGGATTTTAAACACGAAGGACCTTAAATATTAAATGGCTACAAAAATAAAATGCTTCATTAATCAATTCAAAATTAGGGGGAGATGTAAAAATGCTACAAATACATTTTCCAAACAGTGATTGATGTTCTAATATAATTAAGCTTATATGAACTAAGATCAACTTTATATTTGCCCGATTGATTGATTAATTTTCGGCATAATTCGAAGGAAAACGAAATAATAATGGCTGTCCAAAATGAACAATGTAATTAACATTCGTTCGTTTTTGTTTTCCGATTTTCTATTATGCAACGCTTCATCCCACAAGATCAATTTATGAAAAATCAAATTCAAATTTATTAATCCGTAAGTTGCAAAGTAAGGCTTGTTTTTGAATAAAACTTTGTTTTTCACTGTAGGTCGTCTAGTGTAAGAACAGTCGCTGGTAGCCGCCCACTGCAAAACTGGTTGCGTGTGATGTGTACACAAATTATGATATATTTTCATCGCGAAGAAAAAGACATAAGTTTTGCAATGGGCGGCTACCTGGGACTGTTCTTATACTAGACGACCTATAATGAGAAACGAATTTTTATGCAACAACAAGCCTTACATTTTATTTGAGGTCAGTTTAGAGTTTTAAACGCTATATACTCATCCGTTTCGGCTCTTTTCCTTCAAAATGCACCTGAAGCCATGTAAGATCTAAAACTTGGTTTTTAGTAAAAAAAAGCATACAAGTGAGGGGTCAAATTTTCGCAACATCCTAAACCTAAGCGCGTATTTAGAAACGAATTTCCATAAAAAACGAGCCTTACTTGCTCTTGAGGGGAATTAGACCCCAAAAAAGTTGAACATGGGCCAAAGGAATCAAAACATGCCAACATACCCAAGACATGCAATTAGACAAACAATAGGCCCAACGCACAAACTGAAAATTGGTGAAAATGACCTCAACAATGTGCTGAAAGCCCTCCCCAAAGTCCCAAAGAATCGGAAGAATAACTTTGATTTATTTTTTCTCTACGGTAGAGGGTCCCGTTTGTGTCTTGTGTCAAGGAACTAAAAATGTATCGTGATTAGAGTGGAAAGAGGTTTGGATATCGACCTAGTAGCGGCAGAGACTCGATCCTATCGAATTTTTCTCTCGACCAAGATTTTCTCCTTCAACTTTTGGACGCTCTGGGGGCGTCTTAAAGGGTCTGGGAAAACGGAATCGTTTCAGAAGTTCTGTAACCACTTAGACAGCAACGACAAACGCCAGTACGGCACTCCTTTTGCTTCTTTCCATTTTTCGCGCACTCTTGACGCTTATTTCGCTTCTTTTGCACTCATCAGTTGGTACACTTTACGCATACGTGACCCCCTAAACAGGATCGCTAAAGACAAGGATAACTACTAACGAAAACGATCTTCAAGACTCATTCGCGTCTCTTCTACGTTGCGCCATATTCTCGCCTCCTTTTGGCGACGATTTTGCGCTTTGTTTTGCACCTTCTACACGCTTCTTTGACTCCATTTTGTAACAGGTGGTCACTTTAGGCTAAGAAAATTTTGATTTTACGAAATTGCCGGTACAGGAAATTGTATACGTGTACCGCTTCATGATAATTGAGAACGGAACTAATGTGCGAGAAAATAAAGCGCGTTTAAATAAGAAACGAGTGTGCAACAGATGGGCGTCGAAACGCCACAGTGTTGCCAGTTCTAAAAACCGTTGCATGAGGAACATAGTTCGTGCTAGACCTTCACATGTATAAAAAAAACATAACCGAAACCGGTTTTACGTTGGGTCCATTTCAGTGTTCGAGTTCGGCGACTACATAAGTAAAAATTAGGTGGGAGAAAGGGATTTCGAAGCGCAACTATATGCGTTAAGTGCGGAATTTTGAGATCGACCAAAGATTTATTTTTAATTAAAGGTTCGAACTGAAAATTACGAAAGATATGTCACCTGCGTAGTCGTGCGCGATATTTTATTACGAATTTTAGGCGACAACTGTGCCGCGATTGTGACGAAATTATGATCGTGTGTGCTTTTAAATCCATTGTGAGTTACTCTTACAATTAAAAGCAATATAAAGTGGCGTATTTACGTGAGCAAACACTATCATGTTATTGCATTATTGGATTGCGTGCTCGCGTTTAAATAAATTGTTGCCACGAAGGTGTTGTGGTCCAAGGTGCATAACATTAATTATGTCTATATTTGGGGTGATTATACGACAAAGAAAACAAGTTTATCAATTAGAACTGTGCACCTCTGTTGTATATATAGGGTGTTAATAGGTTCCAAATAAAACGGCAACCGGTAAAAAAGTTTGAAGACAATTAATTTGCACCTTTGTTGGCTGTTAAACCCTAAATTAAAGTTCGAGAAACCTGAAGCCCGGTTTGTTCTTGATTTGAAGTAATCAACCCACCGCTCAAAATTAATTTTCAGCGAGCAGTTAAATTTTCCAGGCCACAGTCCGATTGTATTACACAAGAAGTTCCGCCGTCCTATTGAATTTCGGCTACCTATTCAAAGGAGAGAATTAACTGTCAATGGGAAAAAGCTTCGACTCATCAATAAATGTAAGTTATTTGAATATTTGATTTGTATAAAAATAGGATACGATTATTTTACTTAAAGTTAACATTCCTAAAGAGATGGACCCACGGAAGTTTTTTTTTAAATATTCAAACCAGAGCACCCTGAAAGTAGAGATAAAGACCAACCTTTCGCAGTGTAAGAGTCATTAAAAGATTATTTGGGGGGAACCTTCTGGAAGCGAATCTTCCGATGGTGAGCATATTCTGTATTATATACCAAACCAAATTGGTGGTCGAAATGCTCGTGGAGGCTATTACGAACATCTAATGTGTCAAATGATAAAGATAGCGATCAAGGATGTTTATATCAATTGAAGCGAGTACAGAGGGTGCAGCACGTTTTATTTTGCTGCCGGATGTGCATGCGGCGTGTCGCATAGACAACAAGAAGGAAACTGCTATATCCAAAATCTTTTCTCGTAATATTGAGCGCTTAATATGCATTTTTTTCATCTAATATGCTATGAAAATGGTCCACTGTTTACATCTCGGAAGTTTGAAAGTCAATTAGATGCCAATAGGGGATTATACTAACCTAACTATAACTGTAATGGGCCGCAAAAGCGAGGAGATCTATTAGGGAAGTTTTCAAACGCTGCGAAAGTTCCTGGCAAAATATCCGATCGAATAAATGTCATAGTCTACCGTATCAGAAAATCGTTGCCGGGGGATGAATCTCAGAAATTGAATGTAGCACACGATTGTAGAGAAAACACGCTTTGTACAAGGTTTTTTAATTTTTGCAGGCACAGAAAATGAATGTAAAATAACTGTAAACGTCGCCCCGTTGACGGAAATAAATAATTCATAAGCAGAATGGAAACTTGAAACCGAAAGGAGCACTGCCATCAAATAAGCGGAATGATTCATTTATTTTTAAACGAAAGCTACACAATTTTCAAAACTTTCCAAATTTAAATTTACGTAAAGTACAGTGGTAAAAGAGTGTTAAATTTCTTACTAAGCTTTCGAAACTATTTCCTAAATACCTCTCACAGTGTCGACGCTTCATCTTGGAGGCGAAGAAGTTTGTATAAAAGCTTAGCTTACAATTCCGCCAAACTTCCGAGAAGTATAAAAACTTCGCGAATGCTAAAGCCCTACACGTACCCATATAATATTGAAATACATAAAAGAAGTTTCTTGTTTCGCTGTGAGCTTATTCAAAATTTGTACTTGCGATTTTATTGTCGACATTACAAGGAGGACCGGCAGTAAATCAGTCCAGCAGTGAAAGTTACGAGTTAAACTGTGGAAATTGTGCACGCCAAAGCTATAATCAGAGAGCTTGGAGCAATGGATTAAAGGACAACCGTCACAAAGTGGAGCTTTTGCGTGCTTACACATAGTTTGAAATAAACTTCGAAACTACTCATATAAAAATCTCGTATTACCCCTCTTGTGCGATTCTTCGAGCGCAACCGTCCTCCCCCCAATCAAACTGTAATATTCATTCATCACAAGGATAAATAAGATTTATTTGGGGATTAGGTAAAGACAAATCGCTGCGGTTTCCCTCTCCGTTATTTAAATGAATCGATACATAAAATAACGGGGGGCGGAAAAAATCTAAAACAGTATCAACGTGAATGGCACTCTAATGTTCAGCAATTTTTGGATGGATAAAAGACAACTGAAAGGATAACTGCCTTTCCTGAGAGGGGATCTGGACGATTTCAGTTCCGAAAGTGTCTCACTTTTCTGTTTCAAATATATATTCTTTTGTTTGCGCCGGGCCCTCCAATTCAATAAAATTTGTTTTTCCTTTATTAAACTACCGTAATTTTCTTAGCGTAATGTCGAAATTCGGGGTAGTCGGCTTTATTTTTTTTAATTTAATCGTAATAGAACGCATTACAAAGGAAGCAATTCCTTAAATTGTTTCTTAAACTCGAACGCCTCGCACACTTACTTTTGTTCGTTGAAATTTATAAATTCCTGCGCCTTTGTTTAGGACTTTTGTTTAGATTTGGTACAATTAATAAATATTATCGCGGGTGAATGTGACGGTTCGGGTCGAATTTCGGTAACGTGCGGAATAAATTTTGAAATTTATTCATGAAAACTTTCCCTGAATAATAAAACTATTCAAAGTGTACAGGATTTTGAATTTGTGAGCTGTTTCCATATACCTTCCAGGATATAAATATATCACGTTCAGAAGGTTTGTATGACCCTAATCAGAAAACGTCATTTATTTTCCTTTTGACTGAAATCAGTTTCGGATCGCGAATCGCTACCGGCTTTTTGTTATCGAATTGGAAAAGATGTATCGCGATTTAC